CTCGCAAGAACAATATATTAACAATCTTCTTGATAGAGCTAGCATGCAGAATTGTAAACCTGGCCACAACAGTAAAGCTTTTCAAAGGTGACAGTCTAGAGTTTCATGATCATACCCTCTATAGACATGTTGTTTGAGCTCTTCGGTATCTTACTCTTACACGACACGGTATTGCATTTGCTGTGAACAATATGTGTAATTTATGCACTGTCCCTCTTTGAATCAATGTGCAGCCTAGAAAAGAGTGCTAAGGTATCTCTAACACACAAAGAAGCAACATTTCTTCTTCTCAAGATCTTCCCATCTTCACTTGCAAGCTTTCACGGATGCCGACTAGGCTGGTTGCATTGATGATCGCAAATCCACCGGTGGTTATGTTATTTTTCTAGGCAACAATCTTATCTCTTGGTCATCCTAAAAGCAACGTACCGTTGCTCGATCATCCACATAATCTGAATACAAAGCGTTGGCCGATGCAGCAACTGAACTTACTTAGATCCAATCCCTCCTTTTTGAACTTGGTATTCAGCTTCCTAATGATCCCACTTTATGGTGTGATAACATTGGCGTAACCTATCTATCTATCACTCTAGTTTTTCATTCAAGAACAAAACATGTGGAAATTAATTTTCATTTTGTGAGGGATAAAGTTGCCAGAAAAGATTTTCAATTTCAATTCATCTCCACAAAGGATTAACTGGCGGACATTCTTATAAAACCTTTATCATCGACCAAGTTTTAATTTCTCAACGACAAACTCAAGGTGAAAGATCCACCTTTAGTTTGCAATGGGAGTGTTAGACCATCTTAATTTTATCTTGTATATTCAAATATTATGATAATGACATAATTGTAGTCTAGCCGCTTAGGACTCTTTTGACTTATCCCTTGTACATTGTACTATATAAACTACATGAAATAAAGAATACAAGTGTGGGCTTCCAACCATTGAATTCTACTGTGTATTACGTTTAACATGGTATCACAGCAAGCCATGTTCCTTCTTCCTCCTTTTTTTTTGTTTCTTCTTTCTCTAGCATCATATCTCTTGTTTTTTTCCACAACACAATGGTAACTTCTTCTTCCATGACAGTCCCAACTTCTTCACCTTCAAACAACTCTTTGTTATCTCCTAATATTCATATGCAACTCCATCATGCTTATAGGTATTTTGATAAGAGCTCTGGTCGTATCTATATTGCAAGACACATTAAATTTGATAAATCAATTTTTTCCCTTTGCTACTCAATCAATTTTTGGTCCTCCCCCCTCATCCATGTCTAATTCGGCTCCTTTGTTATCAACTCCATGTATTCCACAATATCCAATTGAGCCTTCTATACATTCTGTTGTTTCCCCAAGTTCAGAGTTATCTGTTTTCACACAACCAGATGCAAATCTTACTCCCATTCCCTTGCACGTTATGAATAGCACTCCCTTTGTCACTTCTTCATCTCCTAATTTTTCTCTTAACTCGAATAAAATTCTGTTAGTGCCCTTTTTCTCTTCTCCTACTGTAACTCGAGTTGTTGACCTTACAAATAACTTTACAACTCCATAACCTTCTCCTTGTTCCAATAGTCTACCACAAAACAGCCCCACCAGTGTAAAATCGAGTTCAACAACCACACACCCTTCAACGCACACATCACATACAATTGAGACCCAACCCCAAACCCAAAACATATTCAGCTGTTTGTTCCCCTTCTTTACATCCTTCACCGCCCACAATAGAACCCACATGTTTCATTCAAGCCAAAAAGTTCAAGGAATGGCGAGAAGCCATGACTGCCAAAATGACAGCCTTGCTCAAGAACTAAACATGGTCCTTAGTTCCTCACAAACCAATAATGTATGTATTGGGGTGCAAATAGGTTTTTCGAATAAAAAAGAACTCATCTGGAGTTGTTGAACATTACAAAGCCCGCCTTGTGGCTAAGTGGTTTCATCAAGTTGAAGGTCACGACTTTCATGACACATTTAGCCCGGTGGTGTAACCAACAACTATGTGAATTGTCCTAACTTTGGTTGTGACTAATAATTGGCCTTTGCGTCAATTGGATGTTCAAAATGCGTTCTTACACGGTAGCCTTCAAGAGGAAGCCTTCATGTATCAACCTCAGGGGTTTGCTCATCTACATTATCCACACCATGTTTGTAAGCTTCAAAAATCCTTGTACGGACTCAAGCAAGCTCCGAGGGCATAATACACGAAGCTCTAACAATTTCTTATCTCTATAGGTTTCTCATCCTCTAAAACTGATGTTTCTCTCTTCATCTTCAACTCTCACGGTATTGTTGCATATTTGTTAGTCTATGTCGACGACATTGTTGTAACAGGTAATAACATCAAAATTTTTGAATATGTTGTGGATCAGCTTGGCAATATTTTTTTCATTAGAGACCTTTGCAATCTCAGTTTCTTCCTTGGAGTTCAAGTCTCACGGAATTCTTCTGGTATTTATCTCTCGCAAGAACAATACATTAACAATCTTCTTGATAGAGCTAGCATGCAGAATTGTAAACCTGGCCACAACAGTAAAGCTTTTCAAAGGTGACAGTCCAGAGTTTCATGATCCTACCCTCTATAGACATGTTGTTTGAGCTCTTCGGTATCTTACTCTTACACGGCACGACATTGCATTTGCTGTGAATAATATGTGTAATTTATGCACTGTCCCTCTTTGAATCAATGTGCAGCCTTGAAAAGAGTGCTAAGGTATCTAGCACACAAAGAAGCAACATTTCTTCTTCTCAAGATCTTCCCATCTTCACTTGCAAGCTTTCACGGATGCCGACTAGGCTGGTTGCATTGATGATCGCAAATCCACCGGTGGTTATGTTATTTTTCTAGGCAACAATCTTATTTCTTGATCATCCAAAAAGCAACGTACTGTTGCTCGATCATCCACATAATCTGAATACAAAGCGTTGGCCGATGCAGCAACTGAACTTACTTAGATCCAATCCCTCCTTTTTGAACTTGGTATTCAGCTTCCTAATGCTCCCAGTTTATGGTGTGATAACATTGGCACAACCTATCTATCTATCTATCTATCAATTTTTTCATTCAAGAACAAAACATGTGGGAATTAATTTTTATTTTGTGAGGGATAAAGTTGCGAGAAAAGATCTTCAAGTTCAATTCATCTCCACAAAGGATTAACTGGCAGACATTCTTATAAAACCTTTATCATCGGCCAAGTTTCAATTTCTCAACGACAAACTCAAGGTGAAAGATCCACCTTTAGTTTGCAATGGGAGTGTTAGACCATCTTAATCTTATCTTGTATATTCTAATATTATGATAATGACTTAGAATTGTAGTATAGCCGCTTAGGACTCTTTAGACTTATTTCTTGTACATTGTACTATATAAACTACATGAAATAAAGAATACAAGTGTGGGCTTCTAACTATTGAATTCTACTGTGTATTACCTTTAACACACCTAACTCCTGTCCTAAACTTAATTTTCTTGCTTTCGAAACATGTGACCGTGCCCCCTTAACCATTCGTAACATAATTTGAGTGTATAATATTACTAATTGTACATTTATAATTGAAATAAAGAAGTAAGTTCCATAGAAAAATGAAATATCCAACTGTAAAAGTGTATATGGTAAATCGTTTTGTATTAAATACTCGAATAATAAAGCGACACGTGGAATCGGAGACAGATGAAAAATGAGGCAAGTAGAAATTAAGACCGGGGACATCAACTTCGGTTGACACCGGGAAGACTTCGAAAGGAATATTGCTAATGAAGACAAACGAACGTTTGTCACCCGATAACATTTAATGAAGAATATTCTTTAATATTAAATACACAATCCGTTATAGAGAATTTTGGCATTCATGCTCTTCCGTTACACATTCATCAATGACCCCCATAATTGTCATTTAATAGGAGCTTAATCCTAGAACCTTGTTCCCTATGTGCAACTATAAATATTGACTTCAACAGCCATTATAATTTGTTGACAAACTTATACTATACATTATCCTAAGCTCAATAATATTTTATTTCCTATCTATTGATAGTCTTATTACCGCCTTCGGAAGTTCTGCTCCCAAAACCAAGCTATTTGCTGCCTTATCTCGATTTTAACGCTAAATCTTGTATTTTACTTAATTTATTTATCATTTTAGGATCAAATTGATTTGGTTGTTTATAAAACACGTTACAAATTCAAATATACCGTTTTACGGGTAAACAAAAAGATAATAATTGAAGATTATGTAGTAGAAGATAGGAATTCTACTCCTGTTTGAAGAGATATGATACCATTATTCCTACTATTATTCTATGGTCTTGACACCATCACCTTAAATAAAATAATTAAACAAATATATTAATGTACTTACATTTAAATGGAAAGCTTAATTTTCTCACATTCAACAAGGCCTTTTACGTTAATAAATTAGTTCACTCATAGAAGCATTAAGGGATTGTTTGGTATGTGATACAGAATTAGATGCGAGATTTTTTTAATTTCAAATTTGATTGAATTTTTGAATTAGAGATTAGCAATTTCGGAATTAACTAATCCCGTAATTAAATTAATAATATTGAGACTGATTGGATGAGGTGGTTGGATAAGAATGAAAATGGAATTAACTCGCTAGCCTCTATATTCTACGTTATAGGCCTATTTTTTACCTGAACATTTTGACAGATATAACTCTTTGACTGCTATGCAGATACAACAACAGCATTTTCTGCATGATCTAAAAAAAATGACTAAACTATCCCCATTAACCTACAAAGCACTCTCATTCTATTCGTTGAACAAAGAGGATAAAATCGCCCAGTCAATTGAAATTTGACCATTGGTCTTACCCTCGGTTCAATTTTATGACCCTGACCGTCTAATTTCCTCGAGAAATTGTAGCCGTCGATTGAATTCCCCATAAAGAAACATGGCCCACAGCCTTCTGGCCCACTAATTCACCCCAAAAACGTGGCACTCCGCTCCACTATATAATCATCTGTTTCTTAGAGGAAAAAGTCACTGTGACAATACCAAGAGAACACAAAAGGGTTTTAGGGTTTTAAGCTTATTAGGGTTTCTGTGAGAAATGGCTGAGGAGAGTGGACAGAGGGCTAAGGGTACCGTCAAGTGGTTCAGTGACCAAAAGGGTTTTGGGTTCATCACTCCCGATGACGGCGGGGAAGATCTGTTCGTTCATCAGTCAGGTATCAGATCTGAGGGTTTCCGTAGCCTAGCTGAAGGTGAAACTGTTGAGTTCGAAGTTGAGTCTGGAGGTGACGGCCGTACCAAGGCTGTTGATGTAACCGGACCTGATGGTGCGGCTGTCCAAGGTGGCCGTGGAGGCGGCGGCGGCGGCGGCGGTGGAGGTCGAGGTGGTGGTGGGTATGGAGGCGGCGGTGGTGGATACGGTGGTGGATACGGTGGTGGCCGTGGTGGTAGCCGTGGATATGGTGGCGGTGACGGAGGCTACGGTGGTGGTGGCGGCTACGGTGGAGGAAGCCGTTATGGCGGCGGTGGAGGCGGTAGCTATGGAGGTGGTGGTGGGAGCTATGGAGGTGGTGGTGGTAGAGGAAACGGTTGCTTCAAGTGTGGTGAATCTGGTCACTTTGCTAGAGACTGTACCCAGAGTGGAGGTGGCGGCGGAGGTGGCAGATTCGGTGGTGGTGGCGGTGGAGGTGGCGGTGGCTGCTACAAGTGTGGTGAGGATGGTCACTTTGCCCGTGAATGTACCAGTGGAGGTCGTTGAACATGGGTTGAAACCCTTTGTTCCCTTTATCTTTTAGTCTGTTATGTTTTTGTCTGAATGTGGTGCCTTTGGCAGCCTTTACTATGGGTCTTTGCTACTGTTTCTTCGACTATGGTTGTTTGTTATTTTTATTTTCTGCTCATTAGTAATATCCGTTATACGGTTAAGTTCAGTTTGGATCTTTTGGTAATGGGGAGTCTGATATTTTGTGGTGCTGCAAGTAATACTCTCTGTACATGTTTACATACATGTTTCTGAAGAAATATCAATTAATCAACTGACAGTATTTGTAGCCCTTTAATTTCTTTATTGCATAGATCATTCACTCCCCTTTTGCCAAATATCTTGTGTTCTTACAGTTTGATTGAATGCCTCTTCTGCGGAGAGGATGACACGTGGGATCTTTGTTCTTTGTTAATTTATGGGTATAAGTTGGAACTGAACTCTTGTATAAACTTATTCGTGTTTGGTTATGCTTTAAATGTTGGTGCAATGTCTTTTAAATTTGTGTGGTGTTTGTGTAAATGAGTTCCTTGAAAAGGACAATGCTAAGTCTCAAGTGATGCTTATTCTTTGTTTAATGGAATGGTCTCTTTGGTATTATTGAAGGAATAAACTTTTGACTTGGGTTTTTCTCATCTATTGGTTTAGCTATATAATGTTCAACCGGATGCCTTGGTATACCTATAGTCGAGCATCATATAACCTACTGTATCTATTTGGCCTTTAGATTTTTACTCCAATAAATGCTCTACTTTCAAAGAAATATGCTATTTTACTCATCCTATTTTAGCTCCAAATCACTACTTAGCCAAAAACAGAGGATGTTAGCTTGAAAAAATATCACAATGATCAGGCCTTGTGTTTTGGTAATCTTAATACCTAATACTTGTTTTTAAACTCTTTTATATATTTAATCTTTCAAAGTGAAACAATATCTAATACGAATGTCATGATACCTTATTTCTGGTTTCACTTTAGTTTTACAACATGAGGGTTCATAAAGCAGTTCCTTCCCAGTCTACTGGGACAATTCTACTAACGGTAGTACTAAAACATTGAAATATGAGATTATTAATAGTCACTCAAAAGTAATGTAGTTGGTAACACACTGGAAAGTGGACCATTATTGTTCCTGATCTCTCCAATTGTTTGCCAACTGAGTAAGTTGTCTTGATACCTGATCTTTTCTATGTGAGCTTAGTTTTGACAGGATTTCTAAAAGCAATCCGGGCTTTGCTTTGCTTTTAATTTGATTCTTGCACCATTTACTTGTTGACATTTTTTGCGTTTAGCTGTAGGCCTTGATTTCCAGCACCGTTAAAAGTAAAACTATAACAGCCTATAGGCTGAAGCAGTGTGAGCCTTCGATCTTTAATGGATGAGTTTTTCCTGTGTCATTTACTTAAATATAGCATGTTCTTCACCTTTTTGGGGATAATGTACATGGTTTAACTATAATAGGAGGAAATTCCCAGTAAGTAGAAGACTATAAACCAAATGATGATATTCTATTGACTCTTTCCATATCTTAACTTTTCTCTACACATGCTTTTCCATAATTCACAACAGGTTACAAGCTACAAAGTGGGAATGAATGCAACAGAGTAGCCTATAGTCGAACGATCTCGAGGTAACAGGTTTTTGTAGTCAAGAAGTCACTACTCTAACCATCCTAACCATTGCTCAGTACTCCTCGTGTTAACTTTTTGTAGAAAGGGAGAAGAGAAATTAAATAGAGATTGACTGCAGCAAATTGACTTCATAACTAATATTCAATACCTAACAGTCTTCTTAATTTGTTTACGTTGTCAGCCACTCGTGTCTTGATTACCTACCTCTACTGGTCTTTTGGACTGCGCCAAGAATTCTACACTATCGCCATTATTTGCCACTGGTCTTGCTCCATCACACATTGATATCAACTTTCGTCCAACATGAAGTAGGCTTCAAAATTCAACCTAAACCATGATAACAATTGCATGATAGGATATGGACTCAAGGTAAAGGCAAAAGCACATTGCATCCTGCAAAACTAAATGTTAGGCCTAATAAAAATGACGCTCCATACTTTTGGAGCAGAAATGTCTGCCATGTCCAATTTAGTGGCATGGGAATCGTAGAACTATAGGAACTGAGTAGATGAATTGCGAGTAAATCAATAACTCAATGATTTTCTTACGCAGTTAAGGCTGCAACTACCCTAACTCACAAGATGCAAAAAAGCGAGGAGTGATTGCAGATTACGTACATTAGGAAGTCATAACAGCCAAATTTAGACTTGGTTGAAAACTTAGCCCTTCCAGCATTAGGAACAGATCTAAAAATAACCCTGATACACTCGGTAATTCGAAGGTAAAGCTCAACCAGTGGCGAAGCCAGGGTGTTCAAAGTCTATTTTTTAATCAATACATAATATTATAATTTTTCGGTAAAGGGTGTTTAGTTGACCACCCTTGGCCATACATAGCTTCGCCTCGGAGCTCAACTAACAAGAAAATCGAATAGACAATGCTGGTGATTTGAATATATATGTTAGCTACATGAAGCTAATCTTGTATACGATCCAAGATGAAAATGAAATCGAAAAAGGAACACTAAAAAGTACCTAATTTTGGACATACTGTGGAAGTATCATACAACTTGATAGGTTCACAGCCGTGAGCCTCTGGATTGATAAAGTTCCATAGTTTCTCTGCCTTTGTTCACTAATTCTTCAACTATAGGATCTTGCATTAGGTGCCCTTGCTTTGTAGCCCATTCCAACACTATATGTGCATTATCATCAGCTAATGCCTCACTATCAGGAACATGTGTTGCTATGTAACTCAAGAGTTTCAAACAAGGAATCTGAACCATTTGTTCTCCAAAGTAAATCAGTGGAACTAAGTGCTTTGTGCCTCCTGCCTGAATTATTGCCTTGCAATGATTGACTCTTAGGAAATTTTCTGTGCAAGCAAATTTGTTGAGTGCATTTGCAGCCTCAATAGTTACTTCTGGTTCTCTATCATCTAATAGAGCCACCAATGGACTAATGATTCTTGTCTCTGTTGCTCGAAAAGTCCGAGCCAAATGCCCTATAGATTCGATGCTTGGAATAAGCAATTCTGAGTCTTCCTTGTTGATAATTCTCAAGAATTGATCTACCACGGCTTTGGCAGCTGGTGCCGTGGGCTTAAAGGCAGAGCGTCTCAAGTCTGCATTTTTCTCAGCAACCCCTGTGAATTTAGGAGTGTCAAATGTGCAGTTGGTCTAAATCTTGACAAGTTAAAATGGGTCGAATCAATAAACCGTCAAAAGTTTGTTAGGGCCAAAATGGGCTAGTCTACTTGCGCTAAACAATGGGCCATAAACCACTTTAGTTTTATTGTCATGATTATATTCTACCAACCAAACAAACAAAAATAATATATGCGCTAATATGAATCTCACTGACCATGTTACTCCAATTAAGTTCATCTTTGACCCATATTGTACAAACTATATCTAACCAAACAACCCAAAATATTTTTTTAATATGTTTTGATAAGTATTTTAAAGGTCTCCTCTCAAGCTTTCAAATGGACCAATTTGGTTATGTTCAAAATAGTCAGCCTAATTTTTATGAGCTAAATGTGATACACCTACCTGTGATCTCCATCAGTGCATAGGCTGAATGATATTGTACTTCATCAGGGCCTTTCTCAAGCAAAACTGCAAAGCATAATAGAGCTCTGGATTCTGTAATACTACTACAAATGCTAACATTTTCAGCACAAAGATGCCTAAGTGCTCTCGCAGCCATTGCCTTCATTTCAGCCTTCGTAGCTGGATCTTCATATTCCCTCCCTTTAATGCTAGTCCCAGTCAATCCAACATGGTGTTGCCTCTGCTGATTAGCGTGTTGTCGCTGCTGCTGCTGATTTGGATTTGCTATAGGATTGTTGGGCTGATTTTGTGTCTGGTTTTTCACGGCCATTGCACTTGTAACCAAATTATGCATTTGGTCAGTTGTTTGATTATCCATAGGGTGAGGAATTTTACTCTGAGATCTACTATCATCATCGTCAACCTTGCCTCCAGTGTGATCACTGAATTTGCTAGCACTAGAAGAATTAGAATGAGTCATTGCAGCCGCGTGTATCGACATATGATGTTTGTTTGCAGCAATAGCATACTTACTATGTTCTTGAATTGTTTCAAAAGCAAGATGACTAACCAATAACCTAATAGTATTAGTTTGAGCAAAATGATCTTGACATTTGTGGTGATTCTTAGCCAATTCTGAAATAGCCCAAGCCACCACTATCTGAACTTTCATAGGCCCATCTTTGAGAATTTTAGCAAAGACAGAACAAACACCAGCATTCACAATCTGTTCAACACTCTCAGGGTCTCTACCAAGTAGGCCAATAGCCCTCGACGCGTTCTCCTGGCCCTCCATTCGTCCTTCTTTAGCCAATTTCAACAATGGCGCGACCCCGCCTTCTTCTATAATCAACTTTCCATATCGCTCGTTGTCTCGAGCCAATGACACAAGCGAAGCGGCCGCATCAGAACGGTCCTCTAACGACCCTGTACACAAAATAGCAATTTGTTCCCATATGAGACATAAAATTGGCTCGTTGGCTGCAATTGGAGGAAGCCCGAGATACTCATCGTCGCGATCGTCCGCTGGGGTTGAGACACGTAGCAGCCATTGAACATCACCAATTGAATTCTCAAGCTGTTGAGCCGTTTTCTTTAAAGCAGCAGTTGGAATGATCGTAAAAACACGACTCAATCCTCTGGCACAACATTTGAATACGAGGGTGAGAGCCTTGTCTAAAACTTGTTCCGTGTCATCGATGATCCGACGTGTTGGACGTTCGTATAAGTCGTTGCTAGCGCGCGCGGCTTGTCGGAGGAGAGCCGCGAGCCGCTCTGTTTTGGCTTTGATCTCAAGACAATCTTGTTTGAAATTGCAAACCTCGTCAGCGGCTTTTGTTACCTGGTCTGCCAATTGTATTGGCCTTGCTAGTATTTGTTTCACTATGTCCGCCATCCTAATAGCGGACTCTTAATTATTTCCTTAGTGAGACCCAAAATCAGAGCTTTTTTTCACAAGGAAAAATGAAACCACATGAGTAAAATGGTAAACAAAGAAAGCAAAAGAGGGGGAATTGCGTTAAACCTTATATTAAAAAATGAGATGAAAACAAGAACTGGGACAAAGAAATAGCATTAGAGGTCTTTTCTTTTTTTGCTTGTTTCCTAATTGTATGTCTGAGTTCTTGATTTTTGATTCTAAGGGGGGTTTAGGGAAATGATAATGTTGGCCAT